GCTATCCACTTACATGTCTTCAGATCATTGCCAGTGGCTCAACAGCTTTTAAAAACTATGTCACTGTCTCCACTATACCACCTGCTCCTATCAGATGACTTTAATTTCTTCTGTCCAGAGAAAACAAAGCCAAACAGAAAGGAAATCCAATTTTCTGTCTCTCCCAAATCTTAACAAATCCCTCTGCCCCATCCATCACATCCTTTGTCCCTATCAAATGAGACTAGAAAATGCTCAATGGAGAGCTAGCAAAAGATAGAAATGTTATAAATGGTGGTGATGGTGATGATGGGAGTTAAGTTCAGTAGTAGCCTTTGTCCTTTGTTCAGTTCAATCTCTCCAACAGTGTTCAGGATATAGTAGACCTTTTCCCCCAGGGGCCTTGCTCAATTTTTAGTTCTCTTTTCTATCTTCAACTTCTCCCTCTTAACTGGCTTTTCCCACCACACCACAGGGACATCTTGGATCTCAAAAAATAAATAACCCTTCCTAGACTCTGTGTTCCCCCTTCACTGTTCTCATTTCATAAACAAGCTTCTTATAAGAGTGACCTCCCTGACTGGGTCTATACCCTTGCCTCCATTTGCTAGCTACAGAGGTACTGTCTAGTAGAAGAAAGTGGATTGCTCTTATTTGCCAAAGGTCTGCTCTTTGGAAAATTGCTTTAGAGATTAGCAAAGAAGCACAGAAAATAAATTATGTTGCTATTAATTCAAAGTTTTAATAATATGAATGAAAATAAATTTTAATAATATAAATGAGAATAGATTTACCTTTATATCAATACTACCTTCAGCTAGAGTATAAGCAAGATTATTTAAAGCATTCTTTAAAACAAATCTCGGGTGCCTAGCTGGCTCAGTCAGTAGAGCACGCAACTCCTGATCTCAGGTTATTGGGTTCAAGCTCCATGCTGGGCATGGAGCCTACTTTAAAACAAAACAAAACAAAACAAAAGAAACCTGTTTTCACAAAAGCACCTTGATTCTCTAAATCTAAAAACTAGAAACAATCTCTCCTCTGAGTTCCCACAGCATTGGTCTATACCTATAATACCCTACCACTTAATCTTCAATTATCATAAACTCTCTGATCATTTATCAAATACAAATTTGATACACAGATTTTACAAGTACCTATTATAGATCAGATAATTCTAATCTAATCAACTCAAATCAGGCTAATCAAATCAATCTAATATTAACTAATTAAATCAGCCCCCCTGAAGAACCCCTAATGACATTTTGCTAACTTAATACAAGGCTTTTTTTTTTTTTTACACATTGAAATTTAATAAAGTTGCATTCAGTCACTCACGTCCTGTAATTTTTCACTTAAATGTGCCTTGCAAAGTCTCAAATATTGAGGTATTATCATGTCAATTTGGGTTCCGACTGAGAGGACTAAGGTAAAAGTCAGTGAGTCAGTGAGACAGGAATTATCCAATCCAAGGGCTGTGAGTAGGGTATTCAGGGGGAAGGAATGCATTTTTCCTCTCCCTTACCTAAAAATACCTGAGAAATGCTCCTCCTAGAGGGACTGAGACTTTCTCCCGCACAATGGCTATTACCTTCTGCTTCAATTCCTTTCACATAATCTGAATGTCAGCTCCTCAACAAAGGCATAGCTTTGCCCTCCTGGACCTCTCAAAGTTTGCTCATATCTGAAATAAGGAAGTTTGCCTAGAACATCTCCAAAGTTTTTTGATGTAAATAACTGCACATTACTTACAGTGTGAAAATCAAATTTTATTTAAAAAGCAGGTTCAATGCTTTTCTTTTGTCATGAAGAAGCTTTACATCCCCAACCACCCCCTACATAACCATTAGATTATCTACATGGGACCAATAATTTTCCTAAAGCAGGACACTGAGATTGATATCAGGAGCTTCTTCCAAAACACTGACATTCTGCCCTCACAGTCCCTCTGAAGAAGCCAGTCCTTAATCCTTACCAAGGCAGAATTACAGGCTTAAAGGACTGTGCTAAGGGTAAAAGGTAGCCAGGAATTCATGCCAGGAAACACAGAGCAGGACCAGGTGACAGGCTCCAGTCCCCCTGGAGCCGGAGCCAGAACCTCCCAGTTTGCTTTACCCTCGTGGAGGGTATAATTTCCAGCAGGGCTAAAAATCACCAATGGCACACAGCCAGAGGGCAGGGCTAAGCTGGGTAAGCAAAAGCCAGCGATGAGCCAGAAAGACTCCAGATTTAGAATCTAAGCAGTAAAGAAGGGTGGTAGAGAGCCTCCTACCGAGGACTTATAAAGTAGCTGCCCTCTTTGGGTAAGATCCAGGTTGCCAATAGGAAATCTCCTACCTCCATGGGCCTCCTCACTTGCTCCAGAGACTTTCTCAGCAGCCTCATGTGTTTAGAAAGAGATCACATGACTGGGACTCAAGTGACACCAGCCTACTGATTTCAGAAACATCCCTCCCCTGTGGAGTCAACAGCTCACAGATCAGAAACTTCCCATGGTACCTCTGTTTCCTCCCTCCCCAATACAAAATCCAAGTGATAAGACTAGTCCCAAAACCACCCAAGCCAATCTGTAGTACGAAGCTGTGGGAAGATTATTCTACATAGTTCAACATGCCTCAAAGATAAAGATTCCTTCAGTCTTTCACTTGCTCACTCACTCATTCAACCAGAGTTTTCTGACTGCCAACTATGCTCCATGCACAGGGCTACAAGGACACCTTGCAGGATTGTTAGCAGACACCAGTCTAGCAATTACCCAAGAAACTCTCTAAAGTGGCCCTTCTGGTTCACAATTTCTGACAAGAGATAACTGTTTGTATTTGTGCTATTAGGAAAGGGTTAGCAAAAATATTTAATTGTGTAAATATGATTATCAGTTGGAAAACTGAAGTAACTTAAGAGAATTCTGATTTTTCTACTCATTAAAGCAGGTCTGTAGGATATCTGCTAGTTAGTACATACATACATAAGTGAATTAACATGTGATTCCAAAAGTAAACAAACTTAATGACTTCACAAAAAAATTTTTTTCCACATAATTAAAGCAGAAAAGCCCTTCCCTCATGGGTCTTAGTCAATATGCTTCTACTGTATTGCTTTCAAAAGAATGAAGCCAGAATTCAATACTAAGTCAGCACAGTGACATGGCTGTAACCAAATTGGCCAACCTTATATCCAAAACACCTCAAGCTATTTATAAAAAGATCAGGACTTCTTTTTCCCCTTTAAATTCAATAGAATACCTGACATTCTCTGGTTTAGAGGAATGTCAGGACCTACAAGGGCCAAAGGACTAAACAGTAACTGTGCGTAGCATGGTATCTTCCCTGGCTGGCTTCTTCCTCCCACCTCTTCACTGTGAATATCCCTAGCTCCAGGCTGCCACTTTTGCTCTAGTCTTTCCCTCCTTGGAAAATTCATCTCTAAAATGGAAAGTGGAGAAATAAGAAATAGAATCTGAGGTCTAAATATCTGAGTTTGAGTCCTAATTCTACTGAGATTCAGTATCCATATAAAGGAAGAAAAAAAAATAATGCATAGCATACAGGACTGTATTAGCCAAGTCACTATACCATGGCCCTTGTAAATGTTGTGACAGTTGTTTTATTATGGTGATTACTGTCCACTCTTATCTCTCAAGCTCTACTCTCAGGTTCTAGCTGACGCCAGTACCACACACTCCTCTCCAGGGTCTGTCAAGCCTACCAATAAGAAAGGGAGAACCGAGACAAAACCACCCTCCCTGAAACATCTCAAAAGGTCAAATCTAGAGCCCCACTCATACTTATTACCTCTACTTTAGAGGTACCTTTTCCTCTAAATGGGAATTCTCAGATTACGGAATATTTACTGTTGGCCCTTGAAATTTAACCCCAAGAAGCAAATTTGTCTCTCCCTTCTAGAAGAGTGGTTCTCCTTTTCAGTTATCCCCTTTCTGTCATGCCGGCTAACTTTCCAACTTCACAGGGTAGACACACACTTTGGCATAATATAACTGTCTGGTTTCAGCCAACTCACCATCCTCAAGTCAGAATCTGTTTCTGTTTTTTTTTTAAGATTTCATTTTTTTAAATTTCTTAAAAATGTTTATTTTTGACAGATAGAGTACAAGGAAGGAAGGGACAGAGAGAGGGAGACACAGAATGCAAAGGCGGCTCCAGGTTCTGAGCTGTCAGCACAGAGCCTGAGGTGGGGCTCAAACGCACCAATTATAAGATCATGACCTGAGCTGAAGTTGTATGCTCAACTGACTGAGCCACCCAGGCACCCCTATTTTTTTTTAATGTTTATTATTTTTGAGAGGGAGAGAGAGCATGAAAGCAGGGGAGGGGCAGAGGAAGAGGGAGCCACAGATCTGAAGCAGGCTCCAGGCTCTGAGATGTCAGCACAGAGCCTAACGTGGGGCTTGAACTCATGAACTGGGAGATCATGACCTAAGCCAAAGTCAGACGCTCAACAAACTGAGCCATTCAGGTGCCCCTAAGATTTTATTTTTTAAGTAATCTCTACACTCAACATGGGGTTCAAATTTACCGCCCCAAGAGCAAGAGTCACATGCTCTACCAACTGAAGCAGCCAAGATCTCCTATTTTTTTAATTTAAAAAAAAATTTTTTTTAACCTGCCTTTTTTTCCTGAATCAGAAAATTTCTGTTAACAACGTATTGTATGATTTTTTAAATATAGACACATAATTATAGCTGTATTTATCTCAATCAAAACAAGTTCATTTCCCATATATTTTTTCCTGTATATACTGTAGGCATCTTTCTGTATATTGATAATTATAGATGGGGGTACCTCAGCTGGTTGAACATCCAACTCATCCAACTCGTGATTTCGGCTCAGGCCATGATCTCAGGGGCTGTGCTGAATGTGGAGACTGCTTAGGATTCTCTCTCTCTCTCTCTCTCTCTTTCTCTCTCTGCCCTTCTCTCCTGCTCATGTTCTTTCTCTCCCCCAAAAAAACAGAGATAGAGAGAGATAGATGTATTTACTTCATTTATCATTGCATGGACTTACCAGTTTATTTGGTCAAATCCTCTACTGGTGGCCATTTTGATTGCTTTATAAATTCTGTAGTGACAAATATCCTCATAAACATATCTCTGTACACTTGCCATGGGGATAAACACCTAGAAGTCAAATGCTAGTTTAAGAGTGTGTACTTCAAATTTGATACATGCTGCCAAAATGAACTTCAGAGAGGCTTGTATTATTTTCCCAAGGTATGAGTTCCTGTTTCTTCAAACTCTCACCAGCAATAAGCATTTTTTCTTTTTAATATTGGTCAATCTAACAGCTGAAAAATCAGGTCTCATTTCTATTTGTATTTTCTAGATTTTAAGTGAAACATCCTTTTTCTATAAGGTTTTAAAAGTCATTTATTCTTCTATGACTTTGGCCCATTTTCTTTTTGTTTTTACTTTTTTCCTATTCATTTATAAGAGCTTTGTGCACACTGAGATATATTGGAAACTCTTTAACCAGTTTGTCAACTACTTTTTGTTTTGCTTATGGTGCTTGTTTGTTGTTTTTTTGTTTTTGTTTTAGCTAATACACCACAGTTTTTCCTTTATAATTTCTGCCTTGGGTGCCACAGTAAAATAACTTTTTTTTCTACTACACTTATTACTTTAGTTTTTGTTTAAAAACCTTTAATCTGGGGTGCCTAAGTGGCTCAGTTGGTTAAGCACCCAACTTTGGCTCAGGTCATAATCTTGGAGTTCACGAGTTGGGAGTTCTCAGAGCCTGGAGCCTGCTTCAGATTCTGTGTCTCCCCCTTTCCCTGCCCCTCCCCCACTCACACTCTGTCCCTCTCTCTCTCTCAAAAATAAACATTTAAAAATTTTTTTAAAAACCTTTAATCTATCTAGAATTTATTTTTGCTAGAAGGTGACAGGGATTTTTTTCCCCCAATGGCTACACATTTTTCCTAAACACTATCCTTTCCCACTAAAACCTAGATCTGGACTTCCTAATCTACTTTGAACTCTGCTCACCAACAAGAAATTCTTATTTCTAGTTGGGATATTTTTTTCATTGCCCACAACAGGTTTTATGTAGGCTGCTGTCTATATATACATTGTTGCCCTTGCCTGGAACATCCTCTTACCTTCCTTCCACAGATCCTTCAAAGCAAAACCATCTCTGAGGTAAGAAGTAAATGCTGGAGCGCCTAGGTAGCTGAGTCAGTAGAGTATGTGACCCCTAATCTCAGGGCCCTGAATTCAAGCCCCAAGTTGGACATAGAGCTTACTTAAAAAAAAGAAAAGTAGTAGTAGTAGTAGTAGTAGTAGTAGTAGTAGTAGTAGTAAATGCTATTTAAAACAAGAAATGCTTTCAAAGGAGAGATATAATGTAAAAGAACACTTCAGATGCTCTACAAATACTTTGTGTGGCTAAAGAAGTAAATGAACTTTTTACTCAGCAGAGCCATTCAGTGGGCTTTGGACCTACACAGAGGTGAGGTTAGGAGAAAGAGTAGAATTCAATTGCTTTGCATAGTAGACTGAGAAGTATCTGGAGTGTTTAGTGGCAACAGAGTAAGGAAGGTTTACAGAGGAGAAAAATATAAGATTTTAAGAGACCAAAGCTATATACGTGAGTGATACAAATAGTGGTAAATCCTTAATGGAGAGGTAGACAAAAAAGTGCTTTAAGGGACAAGGACAGCCAATATTAGAATTCAAGTTGCTTGCTTTGCTGCAACGTAAAGCCTGCTGCACACATAAAGGCTTTAGCTAGGAAATATTTGAGTTCTACATCTGGGTCAATATGGATTGAAACAGGTACAGGCATGCTTGAGACAGTAAGACCACCTATAATCTGAACTAATTTAGTGGAAGAAAGAGCTCAAAATTAGAATGACCATAAATACATGAACTCCCAGGAATCTGAAGAATCTGGGTAAAGGAATCAGACCCTACAAGATATAGAATGGCACTTTCAGCCAAATTTTTAAAGGAAAAGATGGTTCTAGCTAACTAATGGGTTACACTAGGATACTTAATCATTAGAAGCTTTTAAAAAGATGGGGCGCCTGGGTGGCTTAGTCGGTTAAGCATCCGACTTTGCTTAGGTCATGATTTCGCGGTTCGTGGGTTCAGGCCCCGCATTGGGCTCTGTGCTGACTGCCAGCTCAGAGCCTGGAGCCTGTTTTGGTCTGTGACTCCCTCTCTCTCTGACCCTTCCCAGCTCACGCTCTCTCTCTGTCTCCTAGAAATAAAAAACAAACAAACAAATAAAAAGAACCAAGGGGCATGAGGTTCAGTGTTGATTTATAGAAGAAACCAGTGGGGGAGGTGCCAATTACTCTGCACAAGAAGCTAAGGATTATACCCCATCCCTTCCCCACTCCAGATGCTCCCATAGGGGTATTCTGTTCCCTACTCCACTTAGGATGTCCTCAGTCAACTCTCACCTCTTCCATAAAGCTTTCTCCCAAGGTTTTAGCTCTCAGATAATTCCTTTCCAAAATGGCCATTTACTTAGAATCTGAACCTCAGTGTAACCTTTGTTGTTTTTTTTCTATTTGTTAACTTCTCTGTTGAATTCAGCTATAGATGCCTTGTAGACAAGAACTCCCAACGAGAGAGAGAGAGAGAGAGAGAGAGAGAGAGAAAGAAAGAAAGAAAGAAAGAAAGAAAGAAAGAAAGAAAGAAAGAAAGATCGATCGATCAAGGGAGAAAAGGAGGGAGGGAGGGAGGGAGGGAGAGAATGAGAGGGAGAGATGGAGGAAGAGACAGACATTCTAAACATCTTACGTTAAACTCAGACCCTACTTAATTCCTGGTGGAGAAATAGTGGAAGATAGTGATGTAGAACCAAGTTTACTAATGACCATGGATGGTAATGCTCCTAAGTCAAGAACAAAAGAGGAATAGGAACAGGAAGAAATAGGGGAATGGAGAAAGAGGATGGCATAATGAAAAATATAATTTGGCTTAGGACGTGCTGAGTTTAAAGTACCTAAGGGATGCATGGGTGGCTCAGCTGGTTATGTGTCCAACTCCTGATTTCAGCTCAGGTCATGATCTAATAGTCGTGAGATTGAGCCCCGCATCAGGCTCATGCTGGGTATGGAAACTGCTTAAGATTCTCTCCCTCTCCCCTGCTCACTCACTCTCTCAAAAAAAAAAAAAAAAAAAAAAAATGATAAAATACCTAAGAACCATCCTGGTTATGATGGCAACAGTGTTTGGTCAGGAACTCAGAAGAGAGATTTAAGAGGTTTTTGGTTTTTTGGGTCCCCTCCTCCCATTTGGCCTTGTCATCTAAATCCGTTTTCTTTTTTTCTTTCTTTTTTTAATGTTTATGTATTTTTGAGAGAGAGAAAGAGAGAGACAGAGTGTGAGCAGGGGAGGGACACAGAGAGAGAGGGAGACACAGAATCCGAAGTACGCTCCAGGCTTTGAGCAGCTCAGCACAGAGCCTGACATAGGGCTCAAACCCAGGAACCACGAGATCACAACGTGAGCTTAAGTCAACGCTTAACCAACTGAGACACCCAGGCACTCCTAAGAGTTTTTGACATATCAGTGGTAGCTAACCGTAAGCCCAGGTGACATCACCCAAGGACAGTATATAGAGGGAGGGGATGGGAGCTAAGTAAGATTCTTAGGAAATGTCTTCATGTAGGAAGCCTGTAGGGGAAAATAAGCCTTTTGCAGTTCTAGGAAGTTATGGTTATCATGTCTATAATTATATAGTTACATGCCAACTAAAACTTATTAATACCTACAGATGGACCAAATAACTGACTCTACAGAAGACCTCTAAAGGCCCCTTTCAAGCCCTCTTTCAACCTTCCTGTGAGCTCACTCCCTGATCTTCACAATTAAAACCGTAGTATTTCAGAGGAAGTGGCAAAATGGACAAGGGCCATAGACCAAGGCCTCCAAAGTGAGGCTTGCGAGTGGAGAATGCTAACTGTTGGATGTTCAAAGAACATCATACCTAAGGGCAGGATACTTTGTTTCATGATTAGCTCATCCAACTGAGTTAAGCTTGGCCAAAGATCTCACTCATGACAGTAAAGACACATACATCAGGGTCTCAACCGAAGTCTTAGAGACTTCTATTTGTTTCATGTGGTCTTTTCCTGGTTGCCCTGATTGAGAATAGCAAACAGAGGAAGTGGCTAGCTTCCTCTTTGGTTACCAGCTGTACAAGCTGGAGCTTCTGGCACTTGATCACCTATCCTGCAAGATTTAAATGCTCTCCACCTACCAAGATTGCCTTGTTCCCAGTGCATGGGCTTATCTCCACTGAAGGGTTCAGAAAAAAAAATAGTCTGGCTTGCCCATGAGCTAAAGAGGGATTTCATAGAGAAGGCAGAAAATTTACAATGTCATAATCACCAATCCTGTATGTGAAGCTGAAGTCCTGAACGTGCAGTGAGACTTGAGACTGATGCTAAGATGAGTATTTCCACAATGGGAGGGAAGGGGTGTTCAGGAGTGCTAGTGAAATTCTCAGAGAGGTCAAACCTGGGGAAAGAAGCCTCAGAGAAGCCTCCTTCCTCAGATCCAGAAGCTAATGATGGAATCACCTCATTCACTACTTCCTGTTTTAACTGGAGGGAAGAGGAAGAAGATCTGAAGGTGGGAGAAAGAATATAGAATCCTTACCTTCTCCCCACCTTAGAGTTCCACTCCAGATTAGAGCTGTCTTTATGCACACACACACACACACAGTTATGTAGTCAAATACATGATATGATTCCAGCAGAAAGACTGGTAAATAGTAGGTGCTCAGTGGGCATCTGTTGAATGAAGAGCACTAGGAGAGATTTCCTAGTCCCAAAGAATGTTTTTTCATTGACTATCCACATTACCTTCACCTGGAATTCCTCCATTTGATGCCCATTCCTTTAGGATAAAGCGTCATACTTTCCAAAACTGTGTTCCACCAAACACCATATCCTGTAAGATTTTAATATAACTTCAAAAAAAAAATGGTTCTCTGGTTAAATAAGCTTGGAAAATGTTATATTCCCTACTTCTCTTTTGAAACTTTATAAATACATATTAAAAGCTGTTTTTGAGGCAAAGGCAGCAGAAGAACTAGCATGAAATTCAGGACAGGGCCTGACTAAGCTAAGAAGCTTGTTCCAGAAGTGCAGTTGAGCAGA